GTGACCTCCTCTTGAAACAATGAACATTTCTTTGGTTTGAGTTTCAAACCTGCTTCCCGAAGTTTACAAAATACAAAACGCAGATTTTCAAGAGCTGTTGCAAAATCTTTACCAAAAACGATTATATCGTCGAGGTAACATAAGCATTTTTCAAGACAGAGATTCCCTAATACTTTCTCCATTAAACGTTGAAACGTCGCGGGAGCATTACATAGGCCAAATGCCATGACATTGAACTGAAACAAACCACGGTGAGTTGTAAATGCCGTTTTAATTTTATCTTTTTCGTCCATTTTTATCTGCCAATATCCACTGGCTAGATCTAGCGTTGAGAACCATTTATTTCCTGACAATTTGTCTAACGTGTCGTCAATTCTTGGGAGCGGAAACGCATCTTTTTTCGTGACCGAGTTTAATTTACGAAAGTCCAGACAAAACCTGGATGTACCGTCTTTTTTGGTTACTAAACATACAGGGGCTCGCCAAGGACTGTCGCTGGGCTCGATTACTTTATTTTCAAGCATTTTGTCTAACTCAGTGTCAACGATTTCTCTTTGCTGTAGAGCCATTCGTCGCGGGGGTAGGCGGATTGGAGCACTATCACCCGTGTCTATTTTGTGCGTTACTAGGTCAGTCTGACCAACCTTACCGTCAGGTCCCACAAAAATATCTTGGAACTCGCGTATAAGTTCAACAACTTTTTCTTTCTCTTCGTGTTTTAAATTATCTGACATGTTTTCTATAAGCAAAGACAAATGTTCCGGTAATGTACCAGATTCATTTTCTCGCGACGAAACATCATGAACAATTTCTGAAACTTGTCCAACTGTAGCTAGGACATCATCGCGTTTTAATTTCACTGGTTTTTCGGCAAGGTTTAGAAGTGAGATAACTTGACATTTGTTTTCCGTTTTTACAATTGATTTCGCGACTAAGAGACCTTTGTTTCTTACAAACTTTGACGTCTCGATTATGCCCTGTTGATCAGGACTATAACCCGCGATGTAACCCTCGACTATCATCTCAGAATTTCCAGGAATTGTAACATTCTCGGCGGCTTTTAGAAAAGCAACTCTAGAATTCATGTTTTGGAACAGTTTAATTGAACTGTTTTTTAACTTTAATTTTCTTTTTCGGATGAAAATATCTATTTCATTTTTCTCAAGAAAATCTGTCCCAAGGAGACCATCAATTCCTTCTAAGTCCCCAACAATAAAATTGTGTTCAAATGCATGATTTCCGACTGAAAGTTTAATAACTTGTTTTCCAAACACAACCAATTTATTTCCGTTTGCGGTTTGTAGTACTGTGTCAGTACTTTGAAGCGCGGTTTCTAATTTCAATTGATCATAAAGACTTTTCTTTAGAACTGAAACAGGCGCTCCTGTGTCTATAAGTAGCTGACAATGTTTACCGCCTATGTTTGCTTTGACATATAAACATGCAGTGTTTTTCTCGATGTTCATTGACTTTTGAGAATTGACATTATTCAGATTGTTTGATTCAGTTTCACTTGTTAACGGGCTATTTGTTTCAGACTTGAAAACATAATTTTGGTTTTCATTAGAAAACTCTTTCAACGCGCTGAGATCAGTTACTGTACTTGGATCCGCGCCCGTTTTTGTCTCAGTTGAAACTGGGTCACCAGTGCGTTCTTTTGATTTTGCAGTTGGTCGTTTGTCACTTTTAAAGGCTGACGTTCCGACCTCAATGTCAGCCGAAATTAGTTTAAAGTGTTTGGAGTTTGCACGGGTTTTGAAAATGCCGGTCTTAGATCGGGAAATTTCTTGTAACAACGGCTTTCAATGTGCCCTACACCTTTACAATAATTGCAAATGATTTCCGGTCTGGTTTTATGCTCCTGTGCGGAAGCCTGAGTACCTTTTAATAAATCTTTAATTTCCAATTTAAATTTCTCTAGTTTGCGATCAATTATTTTCTCAATTTCTTCGCGTGTTACAGCAGTTTCTCTTTTCTGAAGCGTGTGCATGGATAACATGCCCTGATCGCGTTCGATCTCTGACTCGCTACACGGTTTTTTGACATGATCAAGAGAACCGTCAAATGCCTCATATTCCATTGCGTATGCGATTGCTTGATCTAATGACAGAGGATGGTGAAATTGAACATGTTTTTTGAGTTCATAATGACCTAAACCATGAATAAAATGGTCTATGATCTGCGCTTCTAAAGCAGAGTATGTGACATGGGGGTATGCTTTTAGTGCTAATCTGCGTAAGGCATAACCGAATTCTGCTGCAGATTCTTGTTTCTCGCGTTTTCTGTTTTTAAATTCGCACCTAAACGCTACCTCTCTCTCATCAGGATTAAACCGCCTGCCTAAAACAGATTTTAGTCTAGCGTAATCTTGTAAGTCAGATCGCGTGCATTCACTGAGTAGTTTTTGTGCATGGCCTTTTAAAGACATGATGAGCTGTTGAGCACGTTCGCGTTCATTCCAGCCATTCCAGTCTGCGACTTGTTCAAAGCTAATGATATAGTCTTGCCAGTCTGTCGACCTGCCGTCAAATTTCTCGGGTTCTTTTTCTTTAAATATTTTGTCATTGCTGAGTGAATGACCCGGTGAATAACTAGTATGCAGAGTTCGCATGGGAGTGTACAACTCCTCGTCTCTATAACGCGGCGGATCTACAAATCTATTGCGGTCATTTAAAAGTGTTCGATTTGTATGCATTGGAGTATTAAACTCCACGTGCCGATCAATACTGTGTCGGAGCGGATCTACAAAATTGTTATCATTGAACAATGTTCGACTTGTTTGTCTTGGAGTATTGTACTCCTCGTGCCGATATCTATCTGAAAGAATACCACGCTGTGGCGGATCTACAAAACGGCTATTGTCATTGAACCGGAATCGATCTGATTGACTGTTAAACCTGTTAGACAGGTCTCTGTTCTCGGGCGTATATGAAGGCGTGTCTTCAGTTTTCGACCGATCACTGCTTGCTGATTTGTAATCACTATCAAACTGAGATTTTCTGTCGCTTTTGCCTTTATATTGTTTTAATACGTCATCAATATAGTTCTCAAAATCGCGATTGGATTCATTAAATGAACCTTTACCTGAAAGACCAGGTGCACTCGTAGCCATTTTTAAACAAAAGTTAGAACTGAAAGTTTAACATTGAAACATTGAAAATTGACTCAAATCCTGGTTCAAACGGCACCACTGTAGTAGTTGGGCATTCAGCCACTACTGATGTTTAAGTTTTGTACTTCGCGTTGTGTTTTATTTAATATAGATGTTCCCTTCAATAATGTTTCAACCTTTTGATAAACCTTTTATATTTTCTTTCCAGGTAAGTTTGAGCCCGCCTGTAATGAGGCTTGTAGTTAAATAATAAATAGATAATAAAGTTTTAAATCTTTAATAAATTTAACAATTGTATATGAAAATTTCCAAACAACAAATAAATATTCCCGGGGAATGAATGTGGCTTTCGAGAAAAATAACTAAATGAAAAATATAAAGAACTAAGTTAGAAAAATAAAGAATTATTAATCGAAATTAAGTAGGGAAAATAGGGTGAGGCAACTCCTGATAATTACCTTGATGCAAGGCTTGGCTCAGCAGAAGCCCAGAGCACGGCGGTGCTCGGGTTTAAATACTGTTGTTAACAATAGAATAAAAGTAAAAGTCAGCCGTAATGTGATTTGATAATAAATTTAGAAGTAACCAATGAAAAGTCTCGAAATAATATACGCTTGGAAATAAAAGATAACTCTCTTCCGGTTTCATGAATAAACAAATCGAATACGAAGATAAAGAAATTACGTAAAGAAGTAAGTAAACCTTAAGTTAAATAAATAATGTAATGGAAATAATTTATAAAGGATCGATACTACCACAAATGAATAAGAGATTAAAATCCTTTATTTTTTGATAACTGTTTGAAAATCTAGGTTCTCTGAATTTAAAACTGACTAACAAAAAGATTGTTATTTAAAATTCAAAATTGAACCAGTAATTTTTTTGTAACTCTACTCATGGCTATAAGAAAGATGCGCTTATATATGTACTGGGGTGGGTGTTTGAAACACTATAATCAAAACTAACATTCCATTTGGTTTTTAATAATAAAATTAAATTTCCTTAATAAACAAGTGAATCCTATCGTTAGTTTGACGTTTTTAACCTTTCTTTTCATAGATAAAAAAATCCCTCCATTATTATAGTATGGGGAAATTTTTATCTATGAAAAGAAAGGTTAAAAACGTCAATCGCCTGTGGTTCATGTGTCAAAATGTATGAAATACTTCAGGAAATATATCTAGCAATATAGGGAATTTGCGGCAACTGTAGTACGTAGTTTTTATTCATTCACACAAGTATTTGTAAAGAAAAGGGATGAAATGTTGAATATTAAATGCGTTTAATTGGCGATTGCTTTCAACGACCTTATTTTATATATCATGATGAAGCAAAACTTTAGTTCTGAGGAAAATCTGGCTTTATGAGTTCTATAACAGAGAGAAGAATACACATGAAATATAAAAAATGGTAAGAAAATTGCGTTAAAATGTTTGTTAGATGTATTGTTTCATAAAAACATGCAAAAATAGGACAAGACAAAAATTAAAGATTGTTTACATTGCATACGTATGATCAATGTATTGTTTTCATGTTGGCATATTGTGCCTGTCTGAGTCTTTGGACTAATACTAGTTAGATCCTGCTTCTCTCTCTTTTTTAAGTAATTTTTTTTTCACAATATTTTCACAATTTACTACTAAATACTTAAGCACTGATGACATCTGTTTTCTTTTCTTCTTCTTTTTTTAATCGACATAAACTAATCATGGAACTATTTTTGAATTCCGTACATAGAAACAAGAATCAACAATACATTCATTTTCGAGGCTTTGTTTTTTTTGTTTGTTTGTTTTTTTTGTTAATGACTGATGAAATATCTTGCTTGTGTCAAAAATTTTTGAATAAAATTAATTTCTAATAGACGTATTGGTTTCGAACAGTGTACCTTTCGATACACATGAGCACTTCTCCAACGATACAAGCAACCTCTGCAAGGACAGCAAAGACAAAAGACACATGTAAATGGCCGCCAGGTACGACTGTCCGGATCAGAGACAAAGCTCCGGAGACTCCAGCTATTATAACGAAGAGGAAAAAGACTGAAAAAGAGAAAAAAATACTTTGAATACTTCTTTATTTTGCACATTTCCTTTAAAGAAGTGAATATGCATATTTAACACTTGCCAGGCTAAGTTAAATCTCTAAATTAAAAGAAAATTTAAACACTACAAAAGAATCACAGAATTCATCCCAATAAGAAATTTTGACAAAGTTTTCCATGACGCCAATTTTAACTTGTTTTTATATGTTTAATTTTATCTCTAAATCATAAATACATCGCATGAACATAAACGAGACCGAGGGGGAGGTGTATTTTTTGAAACAATCATCAAAATGAAAAGTAAAATGCGTAGGTTTACTAATTTTCTTCTTTTTGTTAACCATTTAAAACTTTTTACGCTGGCGATAGGGGTTGGGGTGGGGGTCATCCATTAAGTCGAATGCTAATTGTTAGGCCATTAATTAAACACAGAAATGTTGAAAAAACTTTTTTTCCTTTAGCCTGATCTTGACAATGAGCACACTGCGCTTATGACCGATCTACAGGGGATGCTTACTCCTCCATGACACTTAATCCCACCTCTGATGTTTTTGGAGGCCTGTGTTTGCTCTCCATCTGGTCTGCATCGTTGCAATGGACCTTTGAGCTTCGTAGATGTTTGTTTTATCTCCATTTTTCATTGCAAGTTCCCTGTAAGACTTAAATATTGTGACACATTGGTCTATCACATACCTGCAACAGCATTGGCAATCATGCTCACTGCCAATAAGATGGTTTTGTCTTTAAGCCGAAACATGTTTAGACCCAAGGTGACTACTGTTATTATAAATAAATCCAACACTATGACTGCCGCTGCTTGTAGCGTCCGCAACAAAGCTAACAGACAAATGAAATTCATGAAAATATAATTATGTTTCATATATCAATATTATTTTTCTCTCAGAAGAGCAGAAGATTAATACAAGTAAAATACTGCCTTCTCGAAGCTATTTGTTTAAAAGTCGGCTTTTTACGATTTTTAATTTTAAAAAATGAAAGTAAAATCTGATTTATAGCATAAAACCTTCATGTTTTTAACAGTGAATGAGACTATGTGAACTAAAGTGAGATATAGGGTGTTGCTTTTTGCTGATTATTTTATTTAAGCACTAAGGATCTATGTTCTTTCTTAAAGCATTCTACCTTTACTTTCTTACCAAAATTAAGCGGCGTCAGGAATGGATAAATAAGGACGCTCGCACACCAGGTTTGATAATCAACGTCCCTGTACACATTTAGTTTGTTATCACAATAATTCCAGATACCAAGGCTGGTAAATCGGTCTCCCTCAGATTTGTAAACCCAGTATGGGGATGCTAAAGCAATGAAGTAAAATAAAATGGCAGCGAACAGCAGAACAAAGCATCCCCGAAGAATCTTGGATGTACCTGAGGGCCTGCAAAAAGACTTAATTCTAGCAAATTGATAATGGTAAGCTTAAGGATAACGAACAACGATCGATCTCAAAAAATTTCATACACTATAAAAATATGTGAATTTTAAGAGGGCATAAACACGGACCCCTGGAAATACCAGAGGTGGATCAGGGTACGTATGAGGAGTAAGCATCCCCTGTTGACCTTTAATACCCCTCGTGACTCCTATGTATTGTTTAGGAAGACGAAACTTTCGGTAGTTAATTCAGTATAAAAAAAACCTAAGGACTAATAATTCTATGAAACATTTCAGCCAAAAATACGACCCAATGTCAGGTTAAATTGCGAACAAGGTCATTATAGGACCATAAAATTTACCAAATGTCGACTTTAAACGTGGTTGTTGAAATTCAGGTAACATCAATTTATCAATGAGTAGCATGAGTCGAATCAAAAATTGATAGTTCTCAGGGCAAATTAAACTCTGAGTGAGAAGAATGAATGAGTGAGTGAATGTTTAACAAAAATCTACAATGGAATGATACAAAATTGAAGTACACTCATGTTTAAAAAAATAATAAAATAAAACAAAACAAAACAAAAAAAGACATTGAGTAGCGAATAAGTTGGAGGATTAAACACTATAAGCAGGTGATAGTGTAATGATACCGCATAAATAAGGAAAGTTGATAATAAAAATTAATGGCTGAATTCAACTAGTTTTCATACATTTTAGTTGTTAGTTTGCTTTTTGGATATATGGAGTTGACATACGAGTGGCAATAACTATCAGATAATTTGACTCTCTTCATTTAGATAATGTAATGCAAAGTAAAATATAAATTTTAACATTACAGAATTGGTTTTAGTGAGCTAACATTTTGCTTAAAGGTGCATGGACACAGATTTGAAGTGGACATTTTAATAGCATTTCACACAAAAATATATTTAAAATTTTATTTCATCCTAAAGGTGCATGGACACATATTTATAGTTCATATTTTCTGTATAATATTACGGCTTATATATTTTAATCTTATTTCATCTTAAAGTTATTGAAACTTCAAATTTTTTGAATGGGTTTAATTGACACATTCTTGCACTCTCACAAATTTTACTTTTATACTTAATACTTAGGAAAAGTGGCAATCTTGTAAAATATATTTTCATGATTGATTTGTACGTCAAATCTATATATGTTAAAAATTTGTTTATCTTAACAAGCTACATATTTTGACAGTAAGTTCTGGACAGTTGTGCATAATGCCTTGTATATTGACTTATTAAATCTTTTTCACGATTCTTTTTTTATTATTTTAAAAAAAATGAATTAATTCAGGAAGTAAAATTATGACATTTTATATGATTGATTTTCCTTATAAAATCGATAGCAGTTTTGTTCTTTTATGAGGAATGGTTTTATAAAAGGTTGAAAATTCATAACTATACTATCGAGATTGAAAAGTTTTGTGATTTTAACAAATTCTTTAAAAACTTTTGAAAACAAAAAAAATTCAATTAGGAGACAATACAAAATAGGAGCAGAGCAAACAATGACCTCTTAAACATCAGAGGTGAGATCAGGTGCCAAAGAGGAGTGAGCATCCCCAGCCGACCGGTCACACCCGTTGTGTGCTCCTTGTCATGATCGGGAAGTAACGGACAAAAATCCGTCGTCAACTCAGTGTATAAATAATGGACTTACAATTAGTACGAAAAACGCCAGTCAACATTTGACTCAGTGATAAATCGTATTAAAGTATTACGTTTTATTTTAGAATTCCTGATCGAAAGGAAAGCGATTATAAGTTTGCTACTTTACCTTTCTGAAACACTGTTCTTCATGACTGCCTTCTTTATGAATACTAAGATCTCTTGTATACATTAATTATATACACACCCTATGAATGTTTTGAGACACGTGAGACACGTGATCTCTCTTGACCTATTCAAAGGTCGATGCTGAAAAACATTTTTAGAGAGGAAACTCGGCAGTAAACGTTATTATTTTTTTCTACTAAATATCATAAAAAAATGTACTGTGCGGAAACTCAACATTGCAAACTAAAACTATAAACCCTAAAAACTAAACTATAAATAAACTTTAGATTACAAAATAAAAAAGTAAAAAGAAAAGATTTCGGAATGAGCATTGTCAGGAAGTTAGTTAAAAGAAATCTTTGTCTCGGGACAAGTTAAATTGGGTTCCTAGGACGATATCAGTTTAAAGAGTACGTTCTTTCTATAAGGACGTGAAATCATGAGTCCTTTCACAAAGTGCAAGCGTGTGAAAGCTTCAGCGCAGTCCAGTAGCAAAAAGCCACATCGTGTATACTATTTAAGGAGAATATAATTATCTTGTGAAATTAAGAAGTCTTATACAAATGTGGGACCTTGTTTGATCAAACCTGACATATGATTCTGCATATCTGAGTTTGCCATCATCAAAGCTGTTATTGATTTGTCGGCAGTTACCTCTTCCAAATCCATGATTTGTCTCACTGGACCCGCTTTAGTCAGAGTTAATGATAACTACCAAGGTTTTATGCTTTGCTGAATTTAGAAAAAAGATTCCAAAAATATATGTGTGCAGAGATGCATAGCTGAAGAGTAGAGGATTTGTTTTGAATACATGCATATTTTGTAGTGTGGATTTGCTCCTTTTACCCATACATCGGTCGAACTGTTTCAAATTTATTTAAATTGCGATAAAATAATAGATATAAGATATACCGGAAGAAATGCAAACGTAACATTGAGCGTAAGCATTTATTATGGACCTGCGTTATTTCAAAATAATAAGGGAAATGCCCCTGGATAAAGGGAAACCAAGATATCGTTACAATATGCGTAATTAAAAATGATATCTCCAGTCAAATGGTGAACAAAGATTGCATAAAACTGAAATATTATCTAATTTACTTAAAAAAATTATTAGCATTTAACTGCAATAAATATATCAGATAATAAAAATACACTTTCACTGTTACACAGAGATCATATTACCTGTTAACATTTAAAACACCAAGATGTATTCAACTTTTTTATATAAAAATTACTCCGAAGACTACATAAATGCTGTCAATAAAAAAACTCCAGCATCATTTGAATGTCAACTTATTAGTGTAATTGTGTTTAAAATCAGAGTGATTTTTAAAGAGATAGTTTTGTCTATGACTAGTCACAAAATGTGAAAATAACCGAGTACCGTTTTTATTAAAGAAGCAGCTGTCTATGATATCAAAAAGTTTTGTCAAGAATCATAAGTTTACGAATATAATTAGCAATAATTATAGCAAGTTTTCGAATCACAGACTGATGAACGCATCATATGTCGAGAAGTACATGTATATTAGATGAAGGGCTAAATATAAATATAAAGGGGAAGTCTTGCATGTTGTAAGAATGGATAAAGAGTTTTAGATATGCTACAATGAATATCATGCAGGCTCCATTAAATGCTCAACCATGTCAATCAAGATCATTTTGTTATACTTCTCGCCAAAATATACATGAAACATATGGAGATAACAAACTGTATTCAAAATAAAAAGTCCATAAACCTATACAGAATAGGAGCAGAGCAAACACGGATCTCCAAGACATCAAAGGTGGGATCAGGTGTCATTGAGCAGTGAGTATCCCCTGTTGACCGGTCACACCCGCTGTGTACTTCTTGTCATGATCGGAAAATAACAGAAAAATCGGTCGTCAATTCAGTGTATAAATAATGGACTATCAATTAGTATGTAAAACGTCAGTCAGCATTTGACTCAATGATAAAGTGTATGTGCTGACAAGGTTATTGTATTGACCACAGAACCTACAAAATGATGATTTTAAACGAGACTGCTTTTATTCTTGTTTCATCAATTTGTTTGTTAATAAATAACCTCGTTTTTGAAATGTCCATACATGGAGCATGCTCTTGCATATCGAATCAACTGAGACATAAAAACTCCGTATGCAGGTGACTAAGGTTTATTGCTTCATAAGTAAGAGAACTTGATTAGAAAGTTTAAGTCATCACGTTTATCACAGAGTTTGGTTCTTAGATTACAATTAACGTCTTTTTCAAGTAAAATATCTAAATATGAAACAGAAGTGTCATACTCTATGGTATCTTTTATCTCATATTCACCGGGATATATCGTATCGACATAAGAACGGAAATTACCATTGTTAATTGACAATGCGTCATCGACATATCTAAATGTCGTAAATTTATGCAAATTTATTTTCTTCTTTTCACATACAAGATTTTGGACGAATTCTGCTTCATATAAATATAAAAAGAAATGTCTGCTAATAACGGGGCGCACTTGGTACCCATGGAAATTCCAATGGATTGTTGGAAGATCTGGTCTCCAAAAACCACATAGATAT